GGGTTGGGGGGGGGGGCTTCCCTCGCCGCTGTCGATCACGAACGAGAAGACAGACGTGGAAATGAGCCAACACGAGGGCCAATGCGCATCCACTTTGACCTCTGCCATTGATTTGAGGCGGTTCATCTTCTTGCGCGAGGCGGAAACGTCCCAAGAAGAGCGTCGGCGAGACGCCGTCGGCCCGCCGCGCATCTTTTCCTTTTCCTCCCCCTCCTTGTCAAAAGAATGCGGCACGACGAGCAATTCATCGACAACGACAGTATTTGGAGGATTGTTTTGTTGGACCAATTCTTCGGCCGTTTGTGTCCCGACGCGTTGGGACGGCGCTCACTCCAAAAGAGAAAACAACCTTTTTGGAGCCGTCCTCAATCCCATTTGCGGAGGAAAGAGACGGACGGGAATGAAACTCTTGTTTTGTTTTTTACATGCCCCAAATTGACATGTAAAAACACGCGCGTGCGCGTGCGTGTGCGTTTCTGTTGTCGTTGGAGTTAGAAGAGCATTTGTTGTCAAATGAAATCGGCAAAAACGATGAGCAGTGGTCTGGAGACATACGTACGTACGTAGAAGTCTGAAGTTTTTTTTTTTAACCAGGGCAAATTTGCAAAGCCTTTTGAGAAGAAGCCGAATTGGATTGTGTTCATTCAAGTCTGGCGGCTGGAAAGAGTCGCAGCCTCCACTCGGGTCATCCTTTCACCCAAGCGGGCGAAGACGGACGGAGAGAGGGAGAGAGCGAGCGACAAAGAGCTTTTCGTGGCCAACGCGGCCGACGGCGTGAAGAGCAAAGTCGGGAGCCCGAGCTGCAAGATGCTGACGCGGCACCGGTGCCGAGCGTGCGCGTCAGTGGGCGGAGTCCCATTGATGAATGTGCGCATCGATCGCTCGCTGCAGCTTCACTTTCCCTAATGATCCAAACTCCCTAATGGAGCGCACGCGCGCTCGTGCGCGCTCCTCCCTCCCTTCCTTTTTTTTTCATCTTCCCGACGCTGCGACGCTCGGACGCACGCACGCGCAATTGCCGCCGCCTTGGCCGCGGGTCAGCCGCCTGTCGGCTGGGCTTGCAACCGCGAGTGGGCGCTCCACGACTTTTTTGCTTTGGGAGGTCAAGGTGAAGCGATGCAAGACGGGATGAGTGGCGGAGGGGTGAGGGCGGTGCCCCCCCCTCCTCCTCCTCCCTTTCCCATATCACGCGGCACGTGAGCCTCGTTTGCGCCAGCCGGAAAACACAACAACAACCGTGCGCTTCCCATTCTCCATATTTCATGCGGACAGATGAACAAATGACAAATTGATGGGAACGCAGGCGGCAATGAAGGGGGGTCCCATCTGTACCGGCATCTGTACAGCAGGAGGGGCCCCAGGCGGGGCGGCGGCGCACCGACAACTGTCTGGACGCCAACACGGGAGCGAAGCAAGACGCGGGATTCGATCCCGCCGAGCCCAATGCGAGACGCGACGACGTTGTGTCAGTCAAAGGAGTCAAAAGCATGAGGCAACAGGGACCGCAGAGTCCACGCCGGGCGACTGGCGTGGACTCGAGGGTCAACTTGTGTACTCAAACAAAGCATTTCATTTTTGGAGCGCATTCCTTCGTTTTTATTGACTTCTCATTCATGAAATCATGGTTGCATTTTTTGGTCCACAAGAAGTGCTGAGTCGTCGGAGGTGGGGGGGCGGTCGCATCCCAATGAGATCGGTTTGCTATTTGATGGAGGCCAAATCCAGCGGCCGACGCGGCTGCCGCCGTCACCTCGGACGACCGCGTCGGCGCTCCCGCGCACGCACAAAAGACCAAAGTGGGTCAGCAACGGTCACGTGACCAGCAGCTCATTGACGACACACAAACAGCAAGAATTGATCTGCAAACACAACACAATTTTTTTTTCACCATGACTTGTTTCATTTGCCGTCCACAAACATGGCCACCTGCTGCGGGAACATTGATCCTCACCGGCCGCGGTCAAAAACCGACGGCGGGCGTGCGACGCCGCGACGCACGGCCACAGAAGCGCACGCGCCCACGCACGCATGTCCAGCGGCGCTCCAACATCTGCGTTCGCCGGGAGCGTCTTCACAGCAATTAAAACAATCGATAGAGAGAGAGAGAGAGACAGCGCGAGCCTTTCTTCCTGTGTGAGAGCTGCATCTAAATTATGAATACGCCACGCGTATCAAGGCGGCCATCAAGGCGGCTGCTTTTCATTCACAACTCCACCCTTCTACAAATCAACTTTGACCTGCGCACTGTGACCGAAAATCAGTGTGTGCGTGTGTGTGTGTGTGTGTGTGCGTGCGTGCGTGTATTTTAGTGGTTAGCTGAGGACAATCAGTCAATAAGGCCTCATTAACCTGTGGCACACTCTGCTGCTGGTGCGCACACACACACACACACACACACACACACACACACACACACACACACACACACACACACACACACACACACACATCTTCATGTGCAGTCCCTCACTTCCAGAGCGAAACTGTTACACAAACTGAACCCCATATGCACACTTATTCTTAAACAGTGACACCCCATCCTCTCGCTTAGACCCCCCCCCCCCACACACAGACCCAGGCAAGTGTTTTGAGAATTTTGGGAGGAGAGGGTTGCAGGCTGCCAGAAGGCAAAGGCTCCGCGGAGCTGAATTCCTTCATCCTGGCGGCCTCTCAGGGAGCGAGAAAGGAGGTCTTACAAGGGGGGTGGGGGGGGCGCACCATCTGCTTTAGGCAATGGGATTTAAGGAGCAGGGAGCAGGCGGCCCTGTGGCGACTTACAGCAACACAAGATTTTCCTGTTCTTTGACCCCCCCCCCTCGCTACCCCCACACCACCGCTACTCTTTGCAAATTTCGGTCGCCGAGTCTTCCCGACACTTTTCATTTCCGATTGTGCACGTGTGTGCGTCCTCGCAAGAAGCCCCTCATGGTCTGCGTGCGGCGGCGCCCAACGTTTCCCCAACCCGGCTTCCCTTTTGCACAAAAGCGGTGCGGTCGTGTGCGAGTAGCGCGCGTGCCGTCGAATGAAGCGTCGGGCTCGCGGGCACTTTCGCAAAGCCCGTGCGCGGACCACGCGCCCTCCGTGCCAGAAAAGGAGCAAACGCTTCATTGGGCGGCGCGCGATGTCCACAAAAGCACGGCGCGCTGTCAAAAAGTCTCAACCATGCAAAGAACAAAGTTGTCGCCCTCGCGGTTGCGGAAACGCACTCGGCGCGGGCAGGCGCACGCACGCGGCCTGATGAAGTGAAAATCAATCGCGGATGCGTGAAAGTGTCAAAGGTGGTTTGAATGAGTCCTGGGGGAGGGGCCAAATGGAAATGAAAGCGGCCACGCAAAACTCAACACAAGGTCCGGGCGAGCGAGAGGAGAAGCAAGTTCTTCTTCGAGTCCCTCAAGACCTGCGACACGCAGACGGGGGCGCAACTAGGGAGGGCGGGGGGGACGGCAGGTGAGCAAGCTCCGCCCCTCCGCTGACATCGCCTGAGCCTCAACACCTTCGGCAAACGAGGCAAAAAAAAAAAAAAAGGCGGGGCCTCGGAACTCTTGAGAAAAACCATTTGGTCTGGGGGATGTGGCGCTTCCTGGCCCTTCCAAGACAAGCAGCCGCCGCCGATGACGACGACCTTTGACTCTGGTGAGCGTGTCAACTTGTTGGAGGCCCCTGTGGGAGACGCTGAAGTCGGCGGGCCGGGGGGCCATGCATCATGTTTACTGGCTGTCACTTCCTAAATTGTTCTTCCCGCGACCTGCGTGCGTCTGGGGGGGTTGGGGGGGGGGCTGTCAGATGTCTCCTTTGAGTTGGTCGGGAGGGCGGGACTCGGCGAGAGGGGCTGCGGTTAAGGGGCGTGTTTCCTGCGGGGGTTTCGAGTGTCATCGCCATCGGGCAGAAGTTGACAAGACGTCTCAAGTTGATCTCTTGAACAATGAAGACGGTGAGCTTCACCACACACACACACACACACACACACACACACACACACACGTTTAAGCCCCCCCCCATCCCTGCTGCATCCTTGAAAGGCGGCGTGACCCGAGGACGCGGAGGGCGGGGCCAAATGAATTGCTCTGCGGACCATTACGAGAAGGAGGAGGAGGAGGAGGAGGAGGACCATTACGAGGAGGAGGACCTGTCCTACCTGCGCTGACTCAGCAGCCGCGCTCAGTCCATCCGTCTAATGGACGGAGACCCAATTTAATTAGCGGGAAGCCGCAGCGCACGCGCGATCCGCCGTCTGGGCGCGCGCATGGACGGCCCTTCTGCCGTCCTTGTGCGGAAAGCGGCTCCGTCGGCTTCTTTGTCCTGCGCGCGCAGCTCGCGCGACGCGCGCCGAGGTTCCTTTCCGTCGGCGGCGCGACGCAGTGCGAAGGCCTCCCCATCGCCGATCACGACTCCGCTTGAACGTGAGACGGCCCCTCCCCCTTCCGCCCCAATCAATAATTAAGAGCTAACATCTGACGAGCAGCTGCGGGCCCAACAGTCGGCGTTGTGCGTCTTCTTTCACCTGCTGGATGCGGGCCCCAAAAAGAATCCGGCCCGCTTCGCCCCTCCCCCGCATCAAAGCACTTTGATTTGAAAGTCTTTTCCAGTGTTCAAGTCACTCGGTGACACTTTCTCGAAGCAAAGCACGCGTCGCGCTTCGCCTTTGCCCAAATTGACTTTGAACGGCGAAAGACACGTCCGCGCTCACACTTTGCCGCTCCAAATCCCTGCCGCTGTGTTGATTTTCAGCAAATGGCTTCTGCAACACGCCGAAAAACCACGGCGGTGAGCTATTTGCAGCGAGGGCCCGCGGCCTGCGCCGCCGAGGCCCTCGGGGACATCGCCTGCTCTGGAAGAGAGCCTCTCATCGACAAAAGACGGATTTTTCTTTTCTGGCCGTCTGAGGGGGGGAGGGGGGGGGCGGCAATCGGCCTCAAAAGTGACTTTGCTGAATGAAGCGGAAATGCCAAAGTCTTTGGTGCACGCACGCACCGCTTGTCCAGCGCTGCCAAAGCTTCCACCAAAGACACGCCCGGCGTTCCGTATTCAGAAGAGGGAAAAGCCATCCCCGTTGACACAAGAGAAGCACCTCATCGGATTGCAGCTCCATTCATTCCAAATGGGGAAGGCGGGGGGGGGGGGGTCGTGGTTCATTTGAGCCCTCGGCGCAGCAAGTTGTCACAAGTGCGGCGTGGCTCTGCCCACTCGGCGCGCTGCTGCTGAGAGCAAACGGCAGTGTGGACCTGTGTGTGTGTGTGTGTGTGTGTCGGCGTCCCCAGCACTGAGTGTGGGTCAGTGTTTTGGAGCGTGCTCCCTGAAGGCATCCCGCTGGGAGCACGGAGCTCAGCAAGAAAAAGGGCTCAAGTTGGACATGAAAGGGGTCTCTTTGGCGGCGAGGTCACGCGGGGTCGCCGGATCGGAACGAGCGCACCTCCAGCGCACCTCCAAGTTCCTCTCAGCCAGCCCGCGTGCGCACGCTCCCGTTCAAACTCCGGAGCTTTTTCAGCGCGGCTTCTGTCGCCCCGTCATACCGCTTGCGTCCGCGCGCCCCGAGCTGGGCTTTCCAACAAGGGCGGCGGCGTCAAGCCAGGGCCGGGCTTCAAACCGGCCCTCAGCGAGCGAGCCCGCGGAGGTTTCCGGTCGGCTCGTCAAGTCCCGGCTCGGCTTCCCAACCGGGCTTGCGCTTCCAAATGTCACCAGGCCGAGTCGGCATTTCGAGCCATCCGATCCGGCCTTCGGGCGAGGGTCGGCTTGCGCTTTGCCACCGGGGGCCCCTGAACCCCCCCCCCCCCTCCCCCCCCCCCCCCCGTGCGGGTGTGAAAACGACACGCTCAAACAGACACGGGAGAGAGGTCGCCGCCCGCGCGTCGACCCTCCGACCTCGCGTCGCTGGCTGGCCTCGTACCTCGCGGGCTGAACCTTTCGTGAACGATCGGGATTTGCATGACAACGACACCGATGCGGACCAACTCGCCGTCGGGCTTCCTTCTCACGTTCGGCCGAGCATCGAAGCCTCGTCGACGGCAATCGAATGAACAAAGTCACCGCGTCGCCTTGACGACAACAAATGGCAGCACCAACAAACACGGCGCTTTCTCCTGCGACATCAATCGGTTTCCGCGAGGAACAAACTTCTGAGCGGAGGCCGCCACAAAAGGGCGGAGAGCAACGCTTTCTCACAAAACGGAGACGGCCATCACGCAAGCGAAAAGGCCACGAGCCTCCGACCGAGCGTCGTTTCTTCGGAATGACACGCGTTGGAGGATTACGGAAGCCCCGCCCACCCAAAGTCAGCCTTCAAAAGCCGGCGCGTTGAAAAGCGCATCGACAAAGCCGGTCGTCCCCCTCGAAGGATTTGCCCGAGTGGAAAAATTTGCGGAGAAACGTCGGTCGGTCGGGCGGCAACGGCGGCGGCGAGACAAGCGAAGCGCGGACTGACCTGCGTGGACGAAGTAGGCCAGGTAGAGGTCCAGCTCCTTGACGGAGACGCCGATGTGGTGCGGCTGCACGCAGAGGCCCGGGTTGGCGCAGCGCGGCGACTTGACCAGGCGCTCGCCGTCGGTGCTCTCCAGGGGCACGCCCTTGAAGAGGATGACCATGACCAGGTCCAGCCGCCACACCTTGTCGGCCTGGCGCAGGCAGTCGATGCGGCGCATCTTGCCCTTCTGGTCGGGGTTGGACAGCACGCAGCAGGGCGCCTTCTTGGCCGTGACGCTCAGCACAAAGTCCTCGCGGAACTCGGGGCGGATGTCCTTGCGCAGCTTGGCCAGCAGGCGCGAGGCCCACTTCTGTTTGACCTCGGGCTTCTCGCCCAGAAGCTCGTCTTTGACGGCGCGCTCCTCCTCCTTGGACATGCGCTTCTCGTGCTTCTTGAAGTACTTGCGCTTGCGCGCCTGCAGGTTGAACCACGTGTAGGCGAAGGCGCGCACGTGCGGCAGCAGCGCCTCGATGAACGGGTGGAACTCGTCCTGCGGAACGACAGGGCGGGGGGTCAGTCGCGCGACGAGGAACGCGTGTTTCGGTCACGTACGAGGCGCGGCGCGGCACGGCGCTTTTCATTCGGCCACTTTCAAAATGCCATCGCTTTTTCGAGTCTTTGGGATCGTCCGCATTTTGGACGAACCGGATGCAAATTCAGACATTGCGATCGTCTCGGTGTCGGTCTTTTCCGCCGCGTTGGTTCATTTGGGATGAAGGGACCAAACATGACGGCGCGCATGCAAATCATGCCTCATGGAAAAAAAAAACTTGAGGAAATGAGCAAATTTTAGCAGGAAACACGGACGCGACTTAAAGTGCATTTTGTCAAGTGTCAAAGCACATTCAAGATCCATCGCTTCATTGTCACAAATCTCAATTATCCCCCCCCCCCCAAACTCGAGCCAAAGCAACGGAAAGTCGCGTTTCGACTCAGCAGCCTCAAGTGACCCACAAACTCTTCAAATTGGCACGTGAAAAATCAAAAATGTTGGCGGAACACGGCTTGTATACAAGCCGTGTTAGGGTTGTTAGGGAAGAGAGTCGAGAACTTTTTCTTTTGAATTGCCCCGACAACCGCCCCCCCCCACGCCCCCCCCACACACACACACCCACATCGTGGATTTCAGTATGGTTTTTCACAGACTTTTTACCGACTACTTTTCCTTGTGCCTGCCGTTTCTTTTGGGGCAATTACACTATAGACCTGCAGGTGGCGACGCATTATTTTGTTTGAAAGTGTACATTTGAAAGAAGAAGAGCGAAACCCGGAAGTGCGTCAAGCCCGGCCGAGATTTTGCTGAAGAGCCTCGACCGTTTTGTTACGTTGACGCCTGCGGCAATCGACGACATTCTTTTGAGAACGACATCTCTGGATGTTGTCAGATGGGGGAGGGGGGAAGCTTTTGTTGGACGGATCACTTCCACTGTTTGTACAACAACACCAAATCTGTCTCATTTGAAGAAATGTGTGTCGAAAGACCTTGAAAAAGTACGTTTGGCAACAGGTATTTGCAAATTGCGCTTTCACTTTTCCCCCGAGCGATGGGGGTCGGGGGGTAGGGGGGGGGGTTCACCGTGTCCTGGAGGTCTTGAAAGAAAAAACTTTGGCTGCCACTGAAGGAGGAAAAAGCGAAAATGGCAACATGAGGATGAAAGAAGCTAACAGCGTCGGGCATCGCAGCACCCCCCCCCCTCCCCAAACAGGCCTCAATCCAACACAACGACGCATTGTTCCCTGTTGGCCGACATCCAAGCAGTCGCGGTTTCTCTCCAAATCCCACCCGACAACACACACACACACACACACACACACACACTGCAAGCGTGGGTGTCGGTGGGAGCGAGAGTCCGTCATTGATGACGTTGCGGCGTTTCACTTCCTGACTCCCTCCAAACTTGCTTGACGCCATTTACAGCATCGCGACCGTGAGCGGCGCCTTCCGGCCATTTCCACGTGACCACCACAAAAACCTCACAAAGACGCAAAAACGCGAGAGCTCAGATCAATACGGACATCAAAGACGCAAAAACGCGAGAGCTCAGATCAATACGAACATACAGATCTCTCTCTCTCTCTCGAGATCGATATCTATATATATTGTATCGTTCCAATTAGATCTCTCTCTCTCTCTCTCTCTCTCGCGAGATCGATATCTATATATATTGTATAGTTCCAATTAAATTTGGGTTGTTTGTTTAATTTTGACGTCACGTCATAACTGAATGAATGCAAAGAAGACCCTAACTTTCTTGGGAACATTCTGGACTTCACATACAAATCAATGCATTCATCGATAACACACGCACGCACGCACGCAAGCACAGATGGACCTCAAATGAAGTAGATGTTTTTTTTTTCTTTTCTTCCTTTTGTTGCTGCCATGTCTTCACCGCCTCTTGCGAGTTTTTATTTTTATTTTTACAAATCGATTTCCTTGTGCACTCTCGCCTACAACCACACGCGCACACACACACGCACACACACACACCCGCACGCACACTCACAGCGTCACTATGAAGACAGCATCACTTTTTTAATAATTACCAATCAATGTACATCACGAAAGAAAAAAATAACGTGACATTTTCACACATTTCTGACATTTGTTTTGGTTTGTAATTAATCATAAGCAAGTGATCGTATTTCTTGTTCCTTCGAAGTGCCACCTGCCGACTGCGTTTACATCAACACGCTTCTGTTAATTTGGTCTTTTTATTCGAATGTATGAGCAAAAAAAAAAACTTCGACATTGTAGTTATTTGAAAGCATTTCCATCATTACGAATTGATGAGAGGAAAATAAATACAAACATTTCTCGGAATGAATATGTAGGCTAAAAGTGCGCGCGCGTGTTGACTGGGCGCTCTGTAATATGTTCTAAAAATATGTTGCAATCATGAATTTCCCCGCGAGTCATTTTCAGCGCAACCTGGCGCGTTTCGCGGATGAAAACACGAAATGAGATTTTCATATGAAAACAATGAATGAGATCGCACTCAATTTGAAACGCACGTTTTTGTTTTATTTTTACTGCGTAATCATCGTGTAAATTATTATATTGCGAATGACATCGCTCGTGACATGACTCATCCTGCCGAAGTGTTTCGCACGCACACGGAGAAAAAAGAACCGACAAGTTGGACTTGACGTCCATTTGAACTCATTCCTTTCGAATGGATTTGACATGTGCAGACCCCCCACCTCCCCCCCAAAAAAAACGTGGCACAAAACGTTACATTTGAAGATAAATGCACTTGCACATTTCAAGCTGCTTGTGACTCAAAGTTGCTTTGAGCAAAAGCTCCGATTTTGAATTCAATTGCCGCTTTGCTCATGCGCCTTCACGCGCACGCGCTTCGGAGGTCAGGGCGTGTCACGTCCAATGACGGACGGTGCGAAGTGTGTGTGTGTGTGTGTGTGTGTGTGTGTGTGTGTGTGTGTGTGTGTGTGTGTGTGTGTGTGCGCGCGCATATGCGCGCCAACTTTGCCAAAGTTGGCCGCGGCCGTCGCGTGCGCGTCACGTACCTGCGTGAGACAAAGCGGCGAGTACATGACTGGTCCGCGTGCGCGCGCGCGCGCGCGAACCCCCGTGGCTGCGTGGCCCAGTCCGGCTCCGGTGGGCGCGCGTGCGCGAGACGAAAACGACGGACGGGACGAGCGGGGCCGGGGG